GTGGGAGGAGTTGGATCTCAAGTTGGAGTTGGTGCACCACTGTAATAGCAGTGTACTTACATGGTAACTCCTCAGGAACTGTCTACTTAATATAAAGTGTAACATTCTGGACACCAACCACAATTTATATGTAAAGCCTAACTTACTGGCTGCTGCTGTGTAACATCAGAGTAATTACATGTTAAATCTAATATAAAGTGTAACACTTTCTTTACCAAAAAAGTGCTGTTAGTCCTGTTACACATTTGTACTTTCATTACCAAAAAGTGTTGTTACCAATGTCCTGTTACACATTTGTACTTACACATACCATTCAGTGGGTTGTTAACATATGTGTAGTTACACAAACATTACACTGTGGTTACATACTATGTACACAATAGTTACTATGTAAGTACACAGGTATTAGGGACACAATATAAAGTGCGACCAAAATATATGCTAATATAAAATTAAATGATAAAAGTAGCCTATATAAAACTGCAAAATAAACATTAATCTATCGGTACTTTTTACTTAAGTACATAAAAAATCAAGTACTTTTGTACTTTCACTCGAGTAAAATTGAACACTGAGTACTTTTACTTTTACTGGAGTAATATTTTATTATACGGATCTGTACTTTTACTTAAGTACTTGATCTGTGTACTTCGTCCACCACTGATAGCTTTACAGTGAAAAAGTAGAGCACTGTTAATTTCATTTGTTTCTTATATTGTATTTGTTCTACTGTTTGTTATTTGCATCATTGTTTTTAATAACAAAGGTAACAGAAATAACTGTATTGTGATTATGAATACAGTAATTATTAAAAAGATGCATTGTGATGCATCAATAATCATTTTATAATCAAATCATTACCCTCAGAAATGTAATTAAAGGTGTGAATCTTCACTTTCCTCACAATTTGGTTGCCATATTCTAGTGATTGAGCTACAGAAATGTAAAGATTAGCAAACGATCTTCTGTAATGATGCTGTCTATAGAAATAAATTAACCTATATATGTGTAGCTATAGATATTAAAAAATTGTGTTGTATCAAATCAGGCAAACATTATCAGAATATTGTAGGTTTTTCATTATGTTTTGGATTGACTTGTTAACTCATTTCCCTAACTCACCTGATTTGGCTCGATGAGTGATGATTTGCTTCTTGTCTTTGAATAAAGTATCCTTGTGAAGGTCAGGATGGAAATTTTTCACAGGCGTCTGGGTTATTTGATGCATTTGCTGTGTAGCAGAAACTACTGCTAAAAAACAATCATTGAGCAAGAATAGATGTTTTCACATGGCCTCATCAGGTTGCATATCTAAAGGGATAGTTCACCCAAAAATGAAATTTTGCTGTTAATGTACTCACCCTCAGGCCATTCAAGATGTAGGTGACTTTTTTCTTCAGTAGAACAGTAAAGAAGATTTTTAGCTGAAGCCATGGTCCCTGGTGATTCTATGCTAGTTAGTGGCAGCCCGTAAAACTGAGAAATCAAAATTCCCTTGATCTTTTGACATATAACAGGTCAATGTACTATAAAAACATCCTGTAAGTTTCAGAATTCAAAACTTTCTCTTTAGTTCAAAAACAGCTTCTATTGAAACCAAGCTCAGAAAACGACTCGTTTTGGAATTTGTCACATTATGACGTCATAGTGCGATGAATTAATCAAAAGTAGGTCATTACACTTAAATCAAATCGCGATACGGACTAGTATCTGTACATATTAAGCAACAAAAATACTATTTAAATATGAATCATGCATGTTTCTGGTGTCTCTGTTAAAGAATGGCGCAGATGCGCAGTTTCCTTTACTACTGAAGTGTCTGTGATGCTCGCGGTTATTTCAGCGTCTGCCGCCTCAATATATGAATACATGAACACAAACAATCTCTAGAACTGTTCAGAGTCATGAGCATTTGACCATTTCATTTGAGAGAAACTATCGTCATATCATATGCACACAGAAATGTATTCACGGCAACCCGTCAAATTAAAAGTTAGGTTTAACTTGAAGACATTATTGCGTCTGAAATAGCCTGTTACTGTTGTTCAGTAGAATGTACGTAATACTACTACTATTACTAAAATGATTAAAACTTAATTTTTTAAGGAACAATTACGTAATATTT